GGTTACCCTCGAAGAAGGTGAGTAAGAGACCGTCCGATTCGCCGTTCGGGTCAATACGACTGCACCCAACTTTCATCATTCCCAAAAAAAGACGGATCTGTACGATTCAACTCTGACTTCCGGTGGGTGAATCTGAACAAAAGGATTAGCGAGGGTCAAGCCATCGTTCTTCAATGAAATCCTATCCCTCCAAAAATAAGGACATGCTCTTGAATCTAGACGGATTCAAATACGCTACTAGTCAAGACCTGAAAATGGGATACTATCACATCGACTGTCACCTGAATCGAAGCAACTCTGTAACCCGTACTCCCGTGGGGAAAGTAGAGTACCAAGAGGTTGCCATATGGCCTATGTAATAGTCCCGACATCTTCCAAGAGGAGAATGGAACACTAATGCACGAACTAGAATACGTCCGTGCATAACATTGATGATCTACTCCAGCCTAACTAACGGCGATATCTAGGCAGATCCGTGAATGAAAAGTAGGAAAATGAAGTTCTCCGAATGGGCTTCGATGAGAGCCGGACTCAAGATCAATGCTACCCAAGTCCTTCTTCAAAGAGGAGAACTTGAATTCCTAGGTAACTGGATTACTCGAGAAGGGATCCAACCTATAACCAGAGTAAATAGACGCGATCAAAATAATCGCTCCTCCTACAACAGACAAAGAACTCCGCAGATTCATTGTGACTAGTGAATACTATCGAGACATGTGGATTAGACGATCACATGTACTGCCCCACTCGCTTCGTTGACTTCCAAAACAACGAAGTGAAATGGGAAGCCGAACACGACAGGCCTTTAGCCAGATGAAGAAGATCATCAGCAAAGAAACCTTTGCTACGCCTACCCGACTTCAAACGATTACAATTCCGTTATCCACACGGATGCTAATTGATACTCAACTAGGTCGGTAATTTCCCAGAAGGGAAAACCTATCGCGTCTACAGCAGAACTCAACCCTGCTCAGACACTTACACAGTTACCGAGAAGGAACTCTCAGTATCGTAGAAACTCTAAAGAATTCCGTAACATTCTTCTGGACAGAAGTTCGTTGTACATACGGACCCAAAGAATCTTACATGTAAGAACTTCAATACCGATCGCGTAATGCGATGCGCCTTATTCTGGAAGAAATACGGCCCTGAACTACGGTACATCAAGGGCGAACAGAACATAGTCGCCGATGCGTTGTCGAGACTTAACATCTCTACAACGACAGGTTCTTCAGAAAATGGACGCCAGCGAGATCGTTTAGCTCATGGCTGCAGAGAAGAGGACTTCCCTAGTGAGTTCCCTCTCTCGTTCCCGAGATCGAACATCGTCAGAAAGACGACAACGATATCAAGAAGCTCCTCAGGACAAGCCAAACGACTACAAGAAGCAATCTTTCCCAGAGGGATAAGCCTACGCTTAGTAGTCAAGGACGAGAAAATCGTCGTACCTAAAACTATGCAGAAAAGCTAGTGAATGGTACCATGTGTGCTGATGCATCCTGGCGAGACTCGCACGGAACTAACCATCAGCCAACACTAACACCTGGAAAGGGCTGCGCAAGACTGTGCAGCCGTATGTCAGCGTTGCCAAAGCTGCCAGACTGAACAAAACCAAACGCGTAAGCTGGGATTGATGCCTCCAAAGCTTGCGAGGAGATCCCTTGGGAAAGACTATTATTGACCTGATAGGCCCTACAACGTCGGGGATCCAAGAAAAAGAATCTCTGCACACTTCATTGCCTACAATGATTGATCCGTAAACGGATGGTTCGAGATTGCAGAGAATGCTCCAAGCAGCAGACGAAGTAGCACTCGTCCTAGAACAAACGTGGCTTTCTCGGTATCCATGGCCTGATGGGTTATCATGGATAGAGGACGTGAGTTCCGCGCAGAGGTCGAAAGACACTCCGGGATGAATATGGACTTCGTCGCAAGTTCATCACCACGCGTAACCCCAAGCCAACTCTATGGTCGACGTGCTCATCAAACCATACTAACTTGTCGCTGTTCAAAACATCAAGGCCAAGACGACCTCGTGAATGGATCCTGGGATGGAGTCCTACGGCGGTTCGCCTTTGCAATGAATCCACGATTCATACCACCTTGCGTGCAACGCCCGCACAGCTTGTGTTCAAACGTGACGCGATTCACAACGTCCGTTCGAAGCCAAATGGAAGTAATTAAGGAACGTCGCCAACGACTAATCCAACAAAAACAACGATAGGGAAAACGCAACGCGTGTCCCTCATCAAACAGCAACGATACTGTGATGATTTAACGGTATCAGCCACGCAAGTACGTCAGCCAAAGTACAAAGGTCCTACACTATAGACCGAGTCAATGACAATGGCACTGTACGGCTCCAACATGCTACCGCAAAAGGCGGCACAGTCTACCAGACTTGGGAACATAGGTATATACACCCATACAAGGTCCTGATCCCCTTGTAGGATGGCCATCGTGCGACGCACATGTCTACATCCAAATCTCAAGAGAGTGCCCCGCACTTTAAATCATATGTTCTCCTGTCCGACTGCTGTCGCGCCTTCTGTGACCCTTGTCAGGGGGGCGAATGCAATACACGGCTCTTAGCCTTATTTACGACTCGATCCTAGATAGAGGTTGAGTTCGACTCATGACTGAGTCTCTCGTAGATAGTCATTGAGACAGGTTCTCAATGACCGCTCTAGTATTACTAGGTTGATGATGAAACCTCGCTCTAAATATTTAGCCAGCCTGGAGTACTTCCACGCTACTAGATCCAGGCTAGACAAACCTTCCACGCGTTCCGTTTTAGGATCGTGGAGAGACGTAGGATTACTACCACAACCTACTCTATCACACTTTATAGTCTCCCGCGGGAAGCCAGATCTACGATCCTTTGATGATGATCTCTCTCGTTGATTAGTTTTCATAGCTTTCTAATCTCTCTCATAACTTTCATTCTCTCAAACTCAAAACACTCGAAAGATCCTTACACTAGCTTTTAGCGTAGTGCATTCACATCTCCTTCTGGGTCATGCTCAGCTCAAGCGTTGTGAGGCTCTCCCCCAGTCCATCCGGACTGAGAGATAGCCAACAACCAACCACTTGACCATGGATGATGAGCAGCAGAAGGAGAAGGCGACCGAGGGCAATCCCGAAGGGATTGTCTTTTTCTTCTTCAAAGGGCATATACTCCAGACAATGCCACGATGGAGGGATCCCCATGTCCAGTGCAAGTACATTGAACCGGCCAGACAATCGCATTGGCTTCAGACCAAAGCGATAAGGTGGAGTGGCTTTCTTGGTACGTGCCATTCTGTTGTGAAATGGTTGGCTGGTAGCTGCATCAATGAGATCTAAAACCTCAACGTTGTCATTGTTTGCTTCTTTCTATTATTTTTGTCAGCGTTGGTGGCAGCATGTCGAGAATGATCCCCAAACCAGTCAAGTTGGGGTCTGGAGAGCCAATCAAACTGGTGGTTGGAACCAAAAACCCATTTCGGCCTTGCGCAAACCAAGCCTCCAGCCGTTTGCCCAAAGCCGAAATTGGTTGTTGCGCAAAGGCCTCTTTTGGGAGTCATTCTGGCGAGGTCACCTCCAAAGAGCCTCCAATTTCCGATTTTGCCATCCTACCGGAGTTGTTGAAACTGGGCCTTATCATGGCAGAGCCCATCATGCAACAACTTTTTGGTGTACTGGCTAGAGCTGTTGATGACGCCAATCACGTAGAGCCTGCCGAAGTCTTCTTGGGACAATTTCGGGTTGTGCTGGACAACGGATCGATTCCATGGCACTATGAATCTGATTTCACGTACTCAATTCCTTCCGACTTTTCAATGGCAAACGCTGAAGCACTCAGCTTGATTCTGGAAAAGCTTCAATACAGCTTCTGCGTGGAATGGAACTTGGATAGTGGAGCATTTGACAACTTCAACCAGGGGGCATTCTTCCATTTGATTTCCTCCATGGCCAAGTCAGGCATTCACAAGGCATCCATTGAAGTAGAGCAGGCACCTCGCAGCTGCGATGGTGTAATCATGGATGGCCTTCGGAAACTTATCCAAGAGAATGCGGCGACAAAGGTGCTTCAAGTAACTGGATTGGATTGGGGCCCTGTTCCAGAAGAGGAAATTCCCAACTTCATGCCAACGCATCTTGCATACCTACGCCACATCGTTTCGTCGGTTGAACAGTACGACAACAACATACTGGAAGAGCTGCGTATGGATGGCTTTGTCGTTCGCACGTCATGTGAAGAATTTTGCCGTCTTTTGTCCTGTGGACTGTGGACCACAAACTATCAGTATAGATGGGGGGTGGATTGACCTCTTCTTGGAGGCTGAGGGTCCTATGGGTGGCTACAAGGGGCCTCGAAAAGTGTCTTTGGGAGGTATAGGGCGCACCCCCGAAACAGATGTGCTCTTGACAAAAGTTCTGGCCTCTTGCCCAGCGCTGGAGGAACTGGAGGTGTATGCTTTTTCCCCCGATTCGGCATCAATTGAGGTGAACCACCAATCGTTTGTACTCCTGCTTCAGCAAGTCAAGGTTCGCAAGCTTTTCCTGTCGTGCGACGTGGACAATGACTACAACTTGGAAAACATCTTCCACCCTTTGAAAGACAACCACTTCCTGGAGGAACTGTCTATCGACCTCCGTCTTCCGGCCACAGTGTGGATGTTTGACGGTGGGTACACGCCGGCTGACGCCATCTCACCCACAGGGTGGGATTGGCTCTGTTACAGTCTCTGCCAGGTACTCTGCGGCATTCTGGAAGAATCGAACATGACATTGAAGAAAGTCGGCTGGTGTGAGAACGGGAATTCCCCGTCTCGCCTCTACAAAGACGCAATGGATCCTGCTCGTTATTTGGCAGCCCTCAATTTCTTCGGACGCGGCCAAGTGCGACGTGGCGAATGCGAGAACATTGGGGATCTACTTGCTGCTGCAAAAGTTGAGATTATGCACGACGACACCACATATGGATTTGGGTTTGCTTCCATTGGGTATGGGTTGCTCCGCGAATCTCCATCATTGTGGGCGCAAGTTTGAGCACTATACTTCATGCATGGTTCCGGCTCCATATTCAAACAATCAGTCTACCTACTCTGTCTAAATTTGTACTTGCACGTATCGCCACGGTCACCCGCTTGAGAATGGCGTTCTCACCATTGATTGTGTTGTACGGTAGAGGCCAGCTAGCTATGCACGATGGCTTCACAACATTACTTGCGTCTTCCTGGTCGGGCCACGGTCTGTGATGCATGCAGTGCTTTCTCGGTGGACTGTCCGCTTGCTGTTTTTGTCTTCCTCCGCACTACTCCAATGAATTCTTCACTGCTACTAGTGCCTCGTTTCGGGGTGAGACCAGGTGGAGCCACCTCGGACCAAAAGGTGCCACCACTGAAATGGCCACAACTCCATCAATATTGGTCCGTTTGAGCTCATCTTTGAACCATTAACTCTGCTAAAGTAGTCCTACAACCTTTTGATAGTATCATTCTATAACTATTGTTACCAAAATAGCGGTCTGCGACGGCCATGGTCGCTGTTTTTCTGTGATGGGTTGCGAAATGGGGCTAGATCCATCTGGTTCAAAGCAACATAGCTGCCCTCGCATCCAAATCCAACCAGCCAGCTCATCGCCTAGGCTACAGTGGGATGTTAGACAAAGGTCAACAGCAATAACAATGGATGCTGCTCCAATTGCACGTATCAGAGGACGGCGAGATCTGTTACTCACCATTTTCTTTGTCGTTCTCCTCATCCAATTTTTCTTCGCATCCGCAATCCAGGCCGTTCGAAAGCGCTTGGTGGAAAGCCAAGCATCCAGAGAGCTTTTCAGACGACTGGCCCACCGGCACAAAACACTGCATGTATTCGAGCCCATCGTCATTGTGAGTGAATGTAAGCCTCATGAGAAAATGCTTCTTGCGTGTTCTTTCGCTCTGCCCCAGGGTATCCTCGAGAGCATAGTGGCAACCAATCGGCAACTGGATTGGATAATGAAAACCAGGGCCCTTCACTCTCTTTTGGCCAGCTGGCCCTGGAAGAGACCAGTTTCCTTGGATCCAAATACGGTGGAGGGGAGTGTTGCCATACTTTTCCAGCTTCAAGATACCTTGAACATGATCAATACCAGCACGGAAATGGTACTTGAACCGACAGGAGACGCCACAGAGCTCAGGTAGGATGTGTCCGTCAACATCTTGAACTGGTTCCCAGACAGGTGGAGGGGGCTGGAAGCTGATCGCAGGCAGTGGTGCTGGGGCAGATGGATGCTCGTAAATAGGCTCGTAAATAGGCTGATAATCGAGGGCCTCCATAAGGTTGTGGTCTCGACAATAAGCCACAACAATGCGATTGAGCTCTTGCAGAGCGAAGTGGAACAACAACTGACCAGTAGCAACAAACCAAAACTGAACGATTGTCATACAGATGCGGCCGACAAGGCGCCCAACAAGACCGATGGTAGCACGGAGAGCAGCACGCATCGTGGTGGTGGCGTTTGCAGTCAGCATTGTCCTGCCGGCAGAAAGAAATGACTAGCAATGAGTGAACCAAGCAACAAAGTCAATCAAGCGGCATTGGCAGCGGAATGTTCTCACTCAGAAAGAGGACTCCGACAACAAGAAGGCCCGCCATTTCTTCGGTTGGTTTGAATGCAATCAAATGAATTCCTTCCTGCAAAAACCCGAGGAAAGATCTGCCGGCAGGATACTCCAACGGCCAGCTCGGCCAAATCTTGGAAGCAACAGACTTTTGGCTCACTTTCCGGCTGATTGATCCAACAGTGAAACCATGAACAACAACAGCAACCGTCGTGCTCCTCTTATCCAAAAGCTCACCATGACCATGGTGGATCCTCGAGACGGCTCCTTGGTGATTATTGGGGTCCGAGCCAAGATTCCTGACGGTACTGGTCCACTCCAAGTCGAACTGCTTCCAGTTATCGGCTCTTTCGATGAGGAAGCTGTGGGCTTCGCTCCCATCCGTGACCAAGAGCGTGACGTGAGTTTGCCTCGCATTCCTTGCCCTCCCCTTGTCGACTTGACCAACGAAGAAGGCCCTCCCCTTGTCGACTTGACCAACGAGGAAGATGAAGAAACCAAGAGTGAGACCAACGAGGATGAAGAGCCGTCGGATGAAGAGTCGACGGATGAAGAGCCGTCGGATGAAGAGCCTTCGAATCCCGAGGAGGAAGCTTTCGAGGAGAAAGAGTCTTCGGATGACAGTGAAGATGAAAGCGCTTTTGCCGAAGACTTCGCTGAGCTGGACACCGTCGATGAAGCCGAGACTGTGGCGGTGGAAAACAATACTGCTGCTCGTCTCCCGACTCGTCTCCCAACTCGCCGCAACCCTCGTCGCAGTCGTCGCAATACTCGTGCAGCCCAATTGGATGAAGATGATGCCGACTTGGCAGTCTTCCCCATGTCGCAAGACTACTTCTAAGAAGCCGATTGCAGTCTATTTTCAACAGGCCGAACAAGAATATCAAAAGAAAAGAAAAGACAACAAGAGAAGTATAGCTGATAGTGGTAACAAGTAGTAGCAGACATATTGATTGTTAGCCATTGTGAACCACTCACCGTTTCGATTTCAATCAACGTCAGCAGGAAAAGACGTCATCGAAACACAAAAGAAGAAACAGATATCCAAACGACACAATACACCCCGATTGCCACCATTGGTTGGCAAGTGCTACTGATAGCTAGCTAGCACTGTTCAAACATAGCATGGTGTTATCCAACAGCCTCTGTTTCGGCATCTTTCCTTCCGTTGTTTGCGTGGTTGATTGATTGTAGGCGACAGCATGACATTGTATGTTCGGTACGGAAATTCGGAGAGGAAAGAACCCTTTTCCACTGTACAAAAAGCAGTAGTTGGAATCCGCGACCTGACTGGAGACAGCTCCAGCCGAGCCAATTCCCACTCCAACCAACCTCCGAAACATTGTTTTGGCTCAAGTCTCAAGTTTTGTCCATGAAGACCATCATAAGCCAAAGACAAGACGGCTTGCTGCTCTTTCAATAGTCAACAGATGGGATTGCTTCATGTGACAATATTTCCAGGCGGATTGGCGCTCGGGGAAACTTCTTTCGCGGCTGAACGCGGGATCTTTCGCGAGAAAACCGAGAGGTTGCTCACTCCGAACTGCAGTCAGCAACGTGGATTTCGCTCTTTGTTTGTCACTTGTAATCGACGTGAAGATGGGAAAAGAACGGAAGCCAAACATCACCAAAGGAAGTTGGGTAGAAGAACGAAAGAAGCCCAAGCGCCATGGGAAGGTCCTCAAGGCGGACAGAGTCGACGGTTCGAAGCACCACTGGCTTGTGGAATTTGAACAACCTGATGGGTCGAAAAAGCAAGAAGTGAAATCATCAGCCCAATTATCTCGATCTGATCTCCAAGGTCCCTCCGTACAAGAAGCAAATGAACGGCCAGAGGAACCAACAGAGGCACCAACAGAGGCACCAGTGGTTTTGGAGGAAACAGCTTTGGAATCCAATGACATCCCGCCTAATTCTCCTTCCACTTTGGAGACACCAGCCAGACCCAAGAGAAAGGCAGCAATCAATCACAAAGTTATCAACACACCAAAACCAACCCGTTTGGCTTCCTCCTCCAGCGATTCTTCGGTTGGAACGTCCAGTTCGTCCTCGTCCGAAAATGACAGCGACAGAGACAGCGACAGCGACAACAACGATGAGGACAGTGGCGGTCAAAAGCCAGCATATAATTGGCAGCAACATCTTCAGAAGGCCCATCGACGCCCTCCAAAATCCGATTCCGAGTCAGAGTCGAGCGATGACAGTGATTCAAAGGAATACGAGGATGAGCCAGACGACGATTTCCCTTTAGCCGACGATGAGACTGAAGCCGACGACGAGCGTGAGTCTTCGGATGATGAAGTGCAAGCTTCCACCCCAGCGCCAGCGCCAGCGCCAGCACCAGCTGTGGCCACAGATGATGCCAGCGTTCCCTCGATTCCTGGCATGTGCTTCCCCAATGACCCGTACGAGGATGTTGAGCCATCAGATGAACGAGACTTCGAAAAAGAAGAAGAGCATCGGTTGAAAATGGAGATCTACAAGGCGGAGAAGAAAGCTCTGCTCGACGAGGAGTGGTCGGTTGACAAGCAACCTGAGAAGCCTCCTCTCCAAATCGGCTCAATCGTTGAGACGAGAGGGAAGAATGCAAAGCGTGGCAAGATCGTTGATCAAAAGCCGGACAAAAGCAAATGGATTGTCCGATTTAACAACAGCCAACGTCTTGTGGAGAAATCCAGTCAGATGCTGGTCCAAGTGTGGGAAGTACCGTCATACACTTGGAAGATTGTAGAGGATTCGGAGCCGGATGATGAAACAGAGATTCAAGAGTATGACGTTGTTGGACTCTGTGGCTTTGATTTCAAACAGTTCTCCGATGAAGTTGTCGAAGAAACCATTGATACCGCGGATTATGCATACCCGTACCTGAAGCTATTACAGACCTTGTGGCCTGGTGACGTGAAGCGCCAGCTGGAGATGATAAACAAGCAAGTTGATGTTGAGAATGAAGAACGAAAGAAGAAGAAAGCGAAGCAACTGATCAACCCTGTGACGATGCATGACTTTTGGAAATTCATTGGTGTCCTCATTTCGGCTGGAGCTTTTCGACTCGGTGGGCAACAGCTTTGGGAGAGGGAAAAGCATCGTGCGTTTTGGACGATGACAGATCCGATCAACCTTGGGGTCCATGGGCAGGAGATAATGCCCTACTATCGATTCAAAGACATCAGGTCTGTCTTTCCATTTGCTTTCCAAGACTTGACTGCAAAGGAAAATGGAGATCCTTGGTTCAAGGTTCGTGGCATGGTTGATGGCTACAATGAAAACCGTAGCCGCGTGGTTGCCGCTTCATCGCGAAAGATTCTTGACGAGTCTATGAGTTCTTTCAGGCCAAGGACAACCAAGAGGGGAAACTTGCCCCACATTTCTTATATTCCACGGAAGCCAGAAGATCTTGGAACTGAGTTCAAGACTGTTGCTTGTGCAGAGACAGGCGTCATCATTTGGGTGGAGATTCAAGAAGGAGCGGTGGCAATGAACAAGAAGAAATATTCCGAGCGTGGAGGGACGATAGCTTGTACATATCGGCTAGTCGAAAACACAAAGTATTGCGGATCAAAGCTACGTGCTCGAAGGGAAGCCAAAGAAAATGGCTCACCAGAGATCTTTAAGGGAGACTCTTGGTTTACTGGTGTTCCGGTGGCAGAGTGGATGTCAGAACAAAAGTTTGCATACGTTGGAGCATTGAAGACAAACAGCAGACTGTTTCCGACTACAGAGATCGATGAGAAGATGAAAGAGTGGCCAAGTGGTTCCTACCTTGTACTCGAGTGCAAGACTCCAAAGGGCCATGACCTTGTGGCTGTTGGATACAGATACAACCGGAAGAAGACTCTTCAATTCTTGGCCACAAAGAATGCTGGCTCAACAAAGGCCGGTAAGCCTTACGTTGCCAGGTTTGCCGACTCCGTTGGAAACCTGCACGAGAGACCTATACCTCGTCCAGCTGTTCTGTCTGAATACTTTGCCGACAGTAATGCCATCGATACTCACAATCATGCACGGCAAGGAGAGCTCAAACTTGAGAAGCGTTGGGTCACCCACGATGGTTTTTTTCGAATCGTAACATCACTCATTGGCATGACTGTCACTGATTGCTGGAAGCTCTTCAAGCACAGTGTTGGTGACAAGAAACAGAAAGAGATTACAGTTGTCCACTTTGCCGACAGGTTGGCAGCAGATTGCACACGGAACAGATTGCGCGACAAACCAGGCGACTCCGGTGGGCTGTACATCAACGTTGACGAGGAAGAGGCGCCCATAAATTGTGTTGCAGCAAGGCCACAAGCTGCAATCTCTCCAGTCACAGTTGCTACTGTCGAGTCCATCGTTGACGAACATAGATTTGGTGACAACTCTGACAGGGAAGACGATGGCAATGGGCGACCAAAACGGCGAACTTGCCAGTTTGCCGGCTGCTCAAAGAAGACTCAAAAGAGGTGTCAGCACATCTCCTGCAGAAGCCATCGCTACAACGCGAACGGCCCAACGAAACGAGGACTTTTTTATTGCGAAGATCATCGCGGTGAGCATCACAAAGAAGTGGCCAAATCTTTTTCCGAGAATGGCTTCTGGTAGCTTTTAAAACGAAAAAGATCGACCATGGCGCTGGTACGTACGCATGAAAACCTCAAATCTGCTTGGTCACCTTTGTTACTGATGTTTCCTTTTCACTGCTTTCAACCCACAGATGGGCCTGGAGTGGCTATGGTTGCTTAAACGGCAGGAAACAAGGCGAAACAAGGCGCGGGAGCTAGCTCCGGAGCTAGCTCCATTCGACTCCCGCGGTAAGTTGTGGACCGTCAAAAGGTGTTTCGTCACCATTCTGCATACCCGTACCAACAAGCGATCATTGTGGCTTCTGTTACTTCTGTTTAGAGAGGAAGGAGGTTGAATTCGACACTATTATGCATTGGTTAACGTGTTGTCGGCGGCAGTTTGGTCGATTGGAGGTAGCTCCATGGAGCTACCTCCACAACGACCTATTTCGAATCGATCCAAGTCAAGTCTACAGACCATATAATGATAGAGA